TCAAGCAAATGGCAATCAAAATACGGTAAGAGTGGCAATATTAGTTTCTGATAAATATATCTTAAGGCAAAATCCAACATAAGAAATAAGAAAGGAGATATTATGTAATGATCAAAGATTCCGTTGCACAAGAGAACATAGCCATATAAATATCTATACACCCAAGTGAAAAGATTCAAAATACACAAATCAAACTCCAGCAGAATTGAAGAGAGAAACAGACAACTCTATAATAATCATGGAAGACTTTAATAAACCACTTTCAAGGATGGACAAAAGAACTAGAAAGAAGTTAAACAAAGACACAGAAGAGCTAAATAACACAATCTGCCAACTTGACCTCATAGACATATAAGACATATACAGAACTCCACCAAAAGAAGCACCATATGTAATTTATCTGGTGCATATGCATCATTCTCCAGAATAGACCATAAGTTAAGTCAAAGTTTGCCTCAACAAATTTTGAAATATTGAAATACTACAAAGCATTTTCTATTATTACATCACTATTAAGATAGGAGTCATCAAGGTAAAAAAATCAAATGCATAGAAACTAAACAACACCCTGTTTATAAACTAGTGGGTAATAGAATAAATTTAAAAATGAAACCTTTGAGACACAGCAAAAAGCAGTGCTCAGTTTGTGGTGCTTTGGTGACTTATGTGTTACTATGACGCTGGAAGCTATTTTTGTTGTTTAGTATCGTGGAGTAGGTTCCGACTCATAGTGACCCTCCACAGAGTTTCCGAGGCTGTAAATCTTTACTGGAGCAGAATGCCTCATCTTTCTCCAGCGGAACGGCTGATCGTGGACAGGTTTCAGCAGAGCTTCCAGACTAAGACAAACTATGAAGAAGGAGAGACAGACCACTTCTGAACAGTTAGCCATTGAAAACCTTATGAATATCAGCTGAATATTGCCTGGTACAGTACAGGAAGATTAGCCCTTCAGGTTGGACGGTACTCAAAATACGACTGGGGAAGAGTTGCCTCCTCAAAGTAGTGCTGACCATAATGATGTGGAAGGAACAAAGCTTTTGGGACCTTCATTTACTGATGGGATACAACTCAAAATGAGAAGAAATAACTGCAAACATCCATTAATAGAACCTAGAATGTATGAATTTGTATAAATTTAGGAAAACTGGAAGTCATCAAAAATGAAATTGAACACAGTAATATAGATGTCTTAGGCATTGGTGAGTCGAATGGACAAGTATTGGCCATTTTGAATCAGACAATCATATGGTTTACTATAACTGATAAATTAAACAAGAATGTTGGTGCATTCATAATCAAAAAGAGCATTTCAAGATCTATCTTGAAGTACAGTGCTGTCTTGTGATAATATCCATATACCTTCAAGGAAGACCAGTAAATACCCCTATTATCCAAATTTATGCACCAAGCACTAAAACCAGTGATGATGAAATTGAACCATTCTGCCAACTTCTTCAGTCTGAAATTGACCAAGTATGCAATCAAGATGGATTAAAAAAAAAAAAGATGAATTGATAATTACTGGTGATTAGAATGCAAAACTTGGAAACAAAGAGGAAGGATTGGTAGTTAGAAAATAATGGCTTTGGTGATAGAAATGATGTTATAGATCGCATGATAAAGATTTGCAAGACCAATGAATTATTCATGGCAAATACCTTTTTTCAACAACATAAACAGCTGCTATACATTCAGTCCTCACCAGATGGACTACACAGGAATCAAATGAACTATATCTCTGGGACGAGACAACAGGTAAGTTCAATATCATCAGCCAAAACAAGGCCAGGGACCAACTGTGGAACAGAGCATCAAGTGCTTATATGCAAGTTCAGGCTGGAGCTGAAGAAAATTGAAACAAGTCCAAGAGAGCCAAAATATGACCTTGAATATATCCCACCTGTATTTAAACACCACATGAAGAGATTTGATGCATTAGGCACTAATATCTGAAGACCAGAAGAGTTGTGAGATGTCATCAAGAGCATCATACATGAAGAAAGCAAAAGGTTACTAAAAAGACAGGAAAGAATGCAAATACCAAAATGGATGTCAGAAGAGACTCTGAAACTTGCTTTTGAGCATTGTTGTTATTGTTAAGTGCTATCGAGTTGATTCAACTCATAGCGACCCTGAACAGGTTTTCCAAGAGTCGTTGGTAGTTTCTAATCACAAAATGTTTCCAACACCATTTAATTTCTGGGGAAAAACTAACAGCAAATTGCAGGGAGACCGGCTCTCTGCTAGGGTCATAGGACATGAGCGAATACGCGGAAACGTCAGATGAAGAAATGAATACAATTCGAGAGGCTTTTCAGCTTGTAGTGCTGTCTGGCTATTCTCTCCAGCTTCTGCCGTCTGCCCAACAAGTCTTTATTTTTTATACTTTTACTACACAGTACATTGACACTTTTATCACTCCTTGAATTATGACACAGTTAGTCACAACATTCTTGCACCTGGTCATTAGACAACCTTGACAAGAATACTCTGTGATGTTCAGACTGACCTTCATGTTCTTTCCCAGTATGAGATAAAACTGTTTCTTCTTGTTTCTACTAAAAGATTATAAACTTTCTATCCTACATAATGTGCTATTATTTTCATAATAAAGGTATTCATTAAATCACTTAAGAGCTATGTGGCATAAAGCCCAACTTGGTTACTAGCTGCAAGAAGTGTAGATTATTAAGTCAAAACTATCCTTCACTTAAGTTCATTAATGTCTGCTTGTTTATGCAGGTGTCTGTATGTAGGGGTTTGAGAATTCTAGCTAGTGACTGAATGTGGTGAGGCCGATGGGGGTAGGTCAGCTTGACTCTAAAATGCTACCTGCTTTTGTGGCCTCACAAATGCAGTTACTTAGGTTTTCTAATGAAAAGGAGTAATTTACACAATTTCTCTTTGTATTCAATACACCAAGGCTGAAAGCAATTGCTGCTAAGCTAGTTTTTCCTAAGGTTTGTAGAATTCATAGTGAAAAGCTGTGAATATTGCCATATTATATATTTTTACAAGTAAATTCAGAGCTAACTTTAAGGGAAAATAGGGGTCAGCTTTTGAGAATCATTTGCCATGCATAATGTCTCTCTCCCCAGTGCGGCTTTGCCAAGCACCGAGAGTTAAGCGCTTCCTGCAGCAAATAACCGTCAAACAATGAAGGGCAACGTTGCTCCTTCCTTCTGCCACTTCACCAAGTTACTTTGATTCTAGTACAATGACAGGTCTAAACTTTTCTCTCCCCCAAAATGTGTTTTTTAATTCTATAGTAATTTCTGACAATGACAAAACACTAACAACAAAATGCTCTAGTGGGGAGTATTCTGCCCACAATGATAAACTATACTAAAATTAGGAATTAATTTGCTTATCCCCTGCTAGCTATTGGAGGAGCATAAAGCATATTTATATTGCTTAAGGATTTGATGATATTCTCAACATTTAACTGTAGGGAACATCCAGTAACTGGGAAATGAGTGGGACCAGGTGAGAGCTTCCTTTCCCATAGCTCTGTCTCCAGAGTAAAAAGAGGCAGGAGACACAGAGCACTGGGACCAGACTTAGATCCATTGACCCCTTCTCTTCTTATTTAGGTAACTATGCATTTGAAATCATCAACATTTACAACAATTCCTGCTGATGAAATTTATAACTCTGGTTAATATAGTTAGTTATCAGTCAGCTTCATCTGCAATGAATTCCTTTATAACACAATTTTGCCTTGGTTATTTGGGAAAATGGTTCAGGAAAAATTTTCCCTAACCCCTGAGGAGTGTTGTAACGTTTGCCCTAATTCTTTGGAGAAGCTGGTGTGGCAGAGGGGCCGGGAAAGACTCCGTTTCTACCACAGGGCTTTGTTAGTTTTAGATCAGTGGTACTTTAGGTTGATTGACATTACAGTTGTAAGCTGTAACCCACTTGATGGTTTGATACTTTTGTCCGCCCTGTCCTGACAATTAATAAAATGTGTTTGTTTGTTTTTTAAAATATATGACATTTATAATATTATTTAATTTCACATGAATGACAGATGAAATGCCATTTATCACAGGATTGTTGTTGTTGTTGTTGTTGTTGTTGTTGTTGTTGTTGTTATGTGCCATCGAGTAGGTACCGACTCCTAGGAACCTTATGCACAGCAGAATGAAACACTGCCAGAACCTGGGACAACCTCACTATTGTTGCCACGCTTGAGCCCATTGATGCTGCCACTTGGCCAATCCATCTTGTTGGGGATCTTCCTCTTTTTCTCTGGCCCTCCACCTTACCAAACATCATATCCTTCTCTAGCGACTAGTCCCTCCTGACAATATGTCCCAAGTATGAGAGACTAAGTTTGGCCAAGGAGCACTCTGGCTGTACTTCTTCTAACACAGATCTGTTGGTTCTTTGGCAGCCCATGGCACTTTCAATATTGTCCTCCAACACCACAACTCAAATGCATCAATTCTTCTAAGGTCTTCCTTATTCACTGTACAGCTTTCACATGGATATGAGGTTATTGAAAATACCATGGCTTGACTCAGGCGCACCTTAGTCCTCAAACTGACATCTTTGCTCTTCAACGCTTCAAAAAGGTCTTGTGCAGCAGATACGTACAATGCAATATGTCATTTGATTTCTTGACTGCTGCTTTCATGAGTGTTGATAGGAAACACAAAATACAAAAGGAATTTTAACTAGAGATCAAATCAGCTTTATTTCATAAAGGGAAATTTGAACTGCGTCTTGAAGGACTTGTTGTTGTTAAGTGCCTTCGAGTCAGTCCCTACTCATAGCAACCCTGTATAGGGTTTCCAAGAAGCGGGTGCTGACCCTGCTGTCCAGTGCTTTATCCCACAGTGCCACACCCAGACTCCATTTGAAGGATAGGGACTATGGTAAGAGATACAGGTCATAGAGGGTATACTTGTTGCTAAGGAAGGGGTGGATTGTGTCACAAAGGCCAGAAAGTGCCTGCATTGTTCAGCTGAGATTGCAGTCTGACAGCCCTTTCTTCAGACTGGAATGAAGCGCAGCTGGTAGGAAGGTGGTACAGAGCCCAGGCCATTGTAAACTGGGGCTGTGTCAATATCCTTTGGATCAACCAGAGGTTTCAAGGCAAAATTTTGTAGAATGGTGGTCAGGATTAAAAACAGTTCCATGCGGGCCAGGCCCTCTCCAGCACAAACTCTTTTTCCTAAAAGATAACATATAAAATACATATTCATTTAGTTCTATGTCAGCCTAAAAAAATATGTAATCAATCAAACAACTATGGCTTCATCTACCTACACACAATCCTGGCTTCCTTCATTTCTTCAGCACAGATTTATGAGAATCTCTTTGCTATATGAGAAGGTTTTTTCCACACTCACATGGGACTGCTGTGCTAGGGTTTTCCAGGGACGTCTTACTTCACACTCACACCTCACACAAAACCTTGACTACTGACATAATGCACAACACTGGACTTCTCCATCTCCCTCTGTTCCAGTACTCAATAATTGATTGAATTCTCCTCATTTGGATTCTAAAGCATAATTTCAACCTGTTATTTCCCTGACTTAAAAGATATAAAAAGCTTACCGTTGTTAGATATAAGAATAATATTACAAACTAGCTGATAATAGTTTTTAGAGCTTTTTTTCTTTCTACACTTCCCATCCAGTTACCCTAAACCTCAGTCAATACTCACTATTCACCAAACTCCAACAGACTGGCAATTTCAAGTTTGATCTCAGATTCTAATCATCCACTGATCGAACGGTCTGCCCATCTGGTCTGCCTGCTGTTGTCCTCCACATCCTTCTAGACCCAGCTTAGATGTTACTTGTTCTCTACAAACTTATCTGACATGTTCAGGGTTTACAATGCACTGCTTTAACATGTTTCTCATAGCACTGTAAAAGGGTGATTTTTTATAAGCCCTTGATCATAAATGAAATGTCTAAATTAAACCCATGTTGATGCTACTTTCAGCAAAATCAGAAAAGACATTTCACAGATGCCTGTCCTTGGTTTCCTTATATGGTTGTCATTGATAGTTGCTGTCTAGATGGTTCCAACTCACAGACATCCTATGTCCATCTGAACAAAGCACTCCTCTGCTTGGTCTCGGCCCATCCTTATCATCATTGCTATGTGTGAAAGCATTGTTCCAGCCACTATGTCAATCCGTCTCATTGAGGGTCTTCATTTTTTATTGGCCCATTAAAATAATCACAATAACTAAAGGAATGTTTCCCCTGTGATCAAGTCAGGGTTTGGAAGGAATTCACTCAAAGAAGAGGATTTTCACGTAGATACATTGGTGGAAATAGCCTTTTAAAACAACAACAACAACAAACCTTTCTTTCATGATGTATATGAAAAAACAAAATCTCAAGAAGAAAACCTCTGAAATATTCAACCGGTTATCTCAGGTCCCCAAGCAACCAGAAAGGTTTAATGTGGGCAAGCAGTTTCTAAAGGGGGAAAAAACAACAACTTAGCTTTAATTTGTTATTACCAACTCTGGCCCCAGGGAATATTATACATCAACCTAGATATTTTTATCCAACATGCAGTTCAGATGCACTGATAATTACTGGTAATTGGAAAGCAAAAGTTGAAAACAAAGAAAAAGAATCAGTTGTTAAAAATATGACCTTGGTAATACAAATGATGCTGGAGACCACACAACAGAAGTTTGACAGATCAATGACTAATTAACAGCAAATACCTTTCTTCAGTAACATAAACACAAACTATATACGTAGTCTTCATTGGCAGGAATACACAGGAACCAAACTGACTACACTAAGGGAAAGAGATGATGAAGAAGGTCAGTATCATTAATCTGAACATGGCTAAGGGTCGACTGAAGAACAAATCATCAATTGCTCACACAGGAGTTCAAGTTGAAGATGAAGAAATAAAAAAAATGTTCATAAGAGTCAAAGTACAGCCTTGAGTGTATCCCATATGAATACAGAGATTATCTCAAGAATAGATTTGATGCATTGAACACTAACTAAAGACCAGATTCATTATGGAATGACTTCAAGTACTTCATACATTAAAAATAATAATAATTAAAAAAACAAAACAAAACACAGAAAAGGATTAAAAAAACAAAATGGATGTCAGAAAAGACTCTGAAACTTATCCTGAAACATAGAGTAGCTAAAGTGAACTAAAAAATGATGAAGTACAAAATCTGAACAGAAAATTTCAAGATACAAAATAAAGTATTATATGAAATGTGCAAAGATCTAGAGTTAGAAGACCAAAAGGGAAGAATATGCCAACTATTTCCCAAACTGAAAGAACTGAAGAAAAAATTCAAGCCTCACATTGCAATAGGGAAGGATTCTATGGGAGAAATGTTGAACAACACAGGAAGCATCAAAAGAAGATGAACCAGGGGGAACCTAGGGCTAGGGAGCATGGAGGAAGGCAGAATCTCCAGTGGGTACTATTCAATCTGTCTGGGAGGAGCTGATGAAAGGAAATACAGATGGGCAACTCATGATACTTAAGTGCATAATGCTTATCAGGATGGATTATGAGGGTTGGAAATGCAAAGGTAGACGTTTTGTAACAAGGAAGGGAGTGATTAATTCTCCAGGCTAGGAGTGGAGGTATCTGGGAC